CCGCGAACGGCGGATCGCCCCGCGAAATTCCAACGACCCTTTTGACCCAAGTGGCCTCGCCAAGGTGAGACCACCTATCGATGGACCAATGTCCTCGCTGTCCCAGTGATTTCCCCGGAGAACCGCGTGTATTCGCGTTTCCCGCGATCGATCTGTCTCGATAATCGATACCGCCACTCGGTATCGCACACGCTTTCGCCGTAACGTTCAATGTCGGGTTGCTCGAAAACGTGTTCGCGTAATCGGTAAACAGACATGTTTTTTTTTTTTTTTAGAAAGTACACGGATTTCGCTCGACCCGGGCTCGACGAGAATGGACGGTTTTGTATCCTGACGCTGTTTCCGTCGCCGCGATTGATAATCGTTCAGAGCTGATATTTTGCCCCCCCCTCCCCCCATTATAATAGCTCATTTCGAATACTAACCTTCGCTTTTGCGAACACGACCACATGTGAGCCCCGAGTCACAATTCTGTCGAGTCAGCGCGACGTCAATTGAGAAACACGATTTTCTCAACTGTTCGCACCCCTGGAGACGCTCACGAGAGTCCCTCATTTCAGGTCATCGGGTGCTCAACAAGTATCGGCGTTTGAGCATTTTGATTGCGAATCCATCAGGCTGAGCGTCAATGCGCCGAGGTGGTGGGACATTGTGCGAAGCCCCGGCGATAAATGACTGCACGCCCTAGACGACACGCGTTATAAAGCGCAATGACGAGGACAAAACGAAACGGCGGGGGAAACGGGCGCGTATGCAAATGCACATTGCTCCGTTCGACCTCTCGTGAACGTGAGTATGTAAAAGAGTAAGAGCAGGACGACGACGAGAGAAGAGGAGGAGGAGGAGGAGGAGGCGAAGAAGGGTGGTGGGCGGACGACGAGAAACAAAGCGAGAAGGGGATAATTCGCGAGAACGGCGGGGAATCGCGCCTCGCGAAGGCATACGCCGCGGTGTTCTCCTACGCGGGCTCGGCCCGCGTACGAATTTTTCCGCGTGGTCCTTTGAAGTCGAGCCGCTCATACCCCAGAGCTACTAACCGAGTCGCAAATATTCGACCGCGAAGCGGGGCCCTACCTCGGCCCGCCTTGGGCATACCACGACAACTTGCCGCGCGCGATTACACGTGAGAAAACTCTCGCGTGAAAATCGAGTGCTCGCTTTTCGCGTCTCTCCCCAGGCACCGCTCCGCGACAATCGAACGTGAGAAAATGTAAGCCCGAAGAAAACGCGCGATTGCTCAAGCTCCGCAATTCTCGCAGAGATACGCCTCCTGTTGTATACTTTCTATCCAGACACGACGACGTGGGTGCGATGAGAAAATCCGTTGGGCGTAGGAAAAGCCGGAAAGTCGTCGAACGCTGGAGCTTTATTGCGATTTTGTCGGAGTGCAGCGCGTTATTCGGTTACGACACGGCGATTGGATTCATTAGTCGGCCCGAGAGACGATTTCCGAAAGTCGATCGGTTTTTGCGCGAATCGTTTAGCGCCAAAGCCCCGCGCTGCTAAACTTCGTTTAGCGGAGCAGCGACGCCGGACGCGACTCGTCGCTCACCGCTCGCTCGCTCGCTCGCCGTGGCGCGCGCTCGCCCGTCAAACGACGCTTAAAACAACGCGAGTGTCGGATTACACTCGTTACCGGTGAGCCGGTGCCGGTGCCGGTGTCACTTTCGTTATTTATGCTCGGACGTAGCGTGTATGGCTCGGCGTTAGGTTTAATTTAATTTCCGCCGTTGATCTCGGAACGTTCGGCCGTGCCGCGCGCGCGCGAAATATCAGAGCGCGCCGCGCGCGCACCCGTAATTGAATATGTAACGGCGAGCAAATCAGCGCGCGGCCGGCGTGGCGGCGATCATTACGTTACACGAGTCGCACGACAGCGATCGACGTTCGTTAGCCAATCGTTCGCTTAATTGCCCGGAGCTCGCGTACAATACAGCCGGTTGAGCCGCAGCTTTGTGTTTAAAGCGTTAAATAAACGTCAGCGGCCGATCTAATGGACCATTGTGCTGAATCTCTATTATTGCTATCATTTTTCCGGCAAATCCGTCCGGCTAGGCACGCGAGAAGGAACAACAACATTACCGTACCGCGCTAAATCGGTCGGTCGACGGTCAGCCACGTGTGCGCGGATAGCGTATCGTCATGCGTGAAATCGAACGTCAAGCAGCTCCTCCTGCGTAAACTCGACCGAGCCATCATCATCACGCTCAGTTCGCGAATTAGCTTCCGCTTCTTAAGCTTACGATGATCGCGTGTACGTGAGCGGAGCGTATTTTGTACGGACGCCGGACGATGCGAGAGTACCTCTCGTCGAGGTATTATCACGGGTATAACTCGGTGTTTAATTTAATAACAAAACGCACAAGCGATATCATTGTATTCGCGAGACACGCGGCCTACATAGCCGAGCGTTTACCACGATATTATTTTACCATTCGGACAACTCGAGATAGACACTCCGAGTGTGTTCCGAGTGATTAATTTACTATTTGCCCGCCGGAAAAGACGTTAAAGCCCTGGGCTACGCGCGCTTCGCGAGGGTGCAGCTCGCGAGGAGGACCTCTAGCTGGCTCTCACCTTTGCATTCACATCTGAGATAAATAAACCGTGCGGGTAACTCGGCACGACTTTTCGGCGAACGAAAAGTTAGTCGCGCGCGAGCTCGACTCGCCCGTCAAACGAAACTCGCCGGACGCGCCACTTCGGCTGCATCGTTATTCTGTTATACGACGAGGGAGGACGGGGGAGGAGGAGGAGGAGCGGCGCAAATTTGTCGTCGGTGTGCTCACGCGCGCGCGCGCGCGCGCGTGCGTCAGCCGCGATAATTGGGTTTTACTTTAAGCTCGCTTTAATAATCCAAACGGCGCGCAAAGTGCACACCGCGCGCGTCCTTGCACGTCGCGCGATCCCGTCCGCAAGAGCCGCGCGCGACATTAGTGTCACCGTCTCGCGGGTGGGTGACAAATTTTGCAAGGCACCCTTCGGTCCACCCTCACCCCCTCGCCCCCACCCGTGCCAGTGCCGGAGAATTATTAATGCGTTCACCGGAAGCGGGGCTACGAGGCGAACGTGCGAGGGAGCGAGCGAACGCGTGCGAAATTAGCGAGCTGCAAAGCGGCGCGCTCGGCTACAAGCGGATTCCGATCGAGATAATGAAAATTAACGACGTTAAAGCGCCGTCACGCCTGCAATTAATTATCGCCCGGAAGCGGCCCGTGGCTGCTGCCGATCGGTCCACGGCTGCGCCGGACTCTCGTATCTCCTCACACACAAACACACACACTCTCTCTCTCTCTCTCTCTCTCTCTCTCTCTCTCTCTCTCTCTCTCCTTTCTCCTTCTCTCTTCTCTTCTCTCCTTTCCTCTCCTGTCTATTGCTACAACATAATCGCGATATCAATCCTTCATTAATTCCCCGGCCAAAGGATGACGCGTCGTCCGGACCTGATTCGCCCGCGCGCGGGCGCGATTAATACTGCGGGTGCTCCATAAGGCTTCACAGAGGACGTCCCGCCATCGCCTGATATTAATGACGCGTCGCTGTCGTGTTGTGGTGCACGACGTGCAGTTTTATGGTCAAAAGAGCCGCGGAGCGTAGCTGCGTGCCGGGACTCATCGGCAGCCACCTGATCCGCGTTCTTTCGACTAGATAGATCGCGATCTTCGGACGATGGCATTTTCACGCGCAGACCGACCTGAGTCGAGCTGAGAAATATCGATCATCGGTGTGACCGCTGGTTATTCCGGCTGGCGATCGGTCGACGCGCAACGAAGCCGTTAATCGCCTCCCCGGCGCGTAACGCGTGTAAATATCGTATAAATGAAAAGGACCTGCGCGTTTAACGCGTCCCGATACGCACGACCTCGATTGCGACGATAAAGAGAATAGGGTGGACACAAGGTTTCAGCGGATTACAGCGGATAATTCAAACTCCATGCTTAAATAAAGAAGAGCAATTCCGGAAGATATACACGCGCCGTTGGGACACATCTCGCTTTACTGTCATTATATGGAGTTTCCGGGACAGCCTTTATACACACGGAGAACCACCGAGCTCGATGAATTATACATCGCACCACAGCGCCACCCTCGCTGCCAAGTTCCTCGCGGTGGATAGTCGCCGTCACACGCGCGCAAGAGCGCCGAGAGAGATAAGGCAAACAAACGGAACTCTTAATAAAACGATAGCGATGGCTAAACACCCCGTGAGGGGCGTGAAGGGCTGCCTCTCTTTCGCCAGCCGACGATTCGGCAGATTGATCGCCCGTCAAATTCTAGGCCGCGCGACTTCGACAGCCTCGACGTCTTCCTCGCGTCTTTCGCTCCATTCTCTACGCTCTTCGCCTTGTGTATTCACGTTAGCGTATATATATATATATATATATATATTTTTTTTTTGTATCGGGAGAAGAATAAAATCGAACGGTCTCGTCCGCAAACGCCGTTTTCGATCAACGATATAAGTACGTGAGTTCGAAGGGATAAGCTTTGCTCCAAGTGTCATTCTTACGGCGAACCTCGCGACAACAGTACACTTGCCGCGCTCGTGCTCAAGTGCAATAAAGTGCTTAATTTCGTTAACAGCCATAACGAATGTCTCAGTCGAAATCTCGCGACTCTGCGCCGGCTGCAGGAAAACACGTGCCGAACACGTGTACGCGCTGAATCGTAAAAAGCAACGACTTCTTGACAGCACGCTGCGCCGTACTTACTCTTAGTATCTTTCAGTGCAATCTCCGTGATTTGTTCTGACAAAAAAAATCCGTGATAACTAATCAGCAAAGTTGCACAATGTTCTCAATGCATTAACACATCTCTCAATGCCGATTCTCCGATTTATAGCGACGGTGAGCAGTCTGTCACTTTTTACCGTAAAGTAAAAACCGATCGGAAGGGGAAAGGATAAAGTCTCGATCATTATCATTATCATAATTTCAAGCTGCATGAGACGTAACACAATGTGACGTCTCATGCATCAGAAACTAAATCATTATAAACGGATCGTTGCACATCAACTGTGATGAAAGTTATTTTTTATTTTCTTAAAAATTTCTTGAACTCTTCAATATCGCGCGAGGTAGCGAGCACGTTCATAATTAAGTATTGAGCGTCGTCCGGATCTGGTGCAGCGTTCGTAACCGTTGTCCATTTGTACAGCCAGCTGGCCGCGGGACTGCCAGATTCCACTCTTACACGTGTGCGTAACAACCCGATATTGTCCAGCAGGATTTTTTCTATCTCCAAGCGCAACAGATCAATTCCTGCAAATGTTCAAACGATCTCGAATAGTGTTCTGTTCAAACCAGCACCGTCAACCCCGCCCAATTGATTTACGTTAGCGACTAATGACGGATCTTAATTGTACCTGTTAACTTCGTAGAGGAGACTGCAATCACATCCTTGGGTATGCAGTCGCTTTCAACTAGATCGCACTTGTTGGCGACATCGATTACCGGACGATCCTCGCCTATCATGGGTTTTATCGTCTGTTGTACATGTTGGTACTGCGCCTTCATATCAGGGTGACTGATGTCGAATATGTGGATTATCACATCCTAGGGAAAAACATTTTTTAATTACTAAACTTGGTCATAAGAGAAAGGAAAAAAAATTAGGTTGATAATACTTAACATACAGCGATTATGGCATCCTCCAGGGTCACAACGAACGGTTCGATCAGAGTTTCTGGCACGTCCTGAATGAAACCAATGGTATCCATGTAGAGTATTTTTAATCTGTTGAGCAACATGCCTCGATGCGCGGTCGTATCAAGGGTTGCGAACAATTTATTTTTAGGTTGCAGAGATTTGTCATCCGTAAGTGCCTTTATCAAGGAGGTCTTACCCGAATTCGTGTAACCCACCACAGCAACCGTGGGTATACCGGTATTCTTACGATGATTCCTAATAAGCTGTCGATGTTGCTTCAACTTCTTCAAGTCACTCTTCAATCTCTTTTCCTTGTTGTCGAGCAGCAACTTCATCTTCTCTGTCATGTTAATCACACCACAGGAAGTAATGCACGTTTCCAATACTTTTCTTCGGATATATGGTATTTCCGCTAAGGCTACTTGTAGTTTCGCCTCTGGGGTTTTCGCGTGCTCGCGGAATATATGGATAACTATAGAGTAACGATCATATACTGGTAGACCAAAGATCTTTTCCAATTCAAGCATCTGAACAAACTTCAGCTGATTAGTACTGACAAATATTGCAGTAGGGTTTTCACTTCTACGCATCTCCTTCTTCAGGTCCTCTATTGAACCAGTACCAAGCAAAGATTTTCTCTGCAAAGTAAGCAATGGTGCATACTTGGTCCCAACTACGTACCAATATGGTAGAGTGTTTACAAGTGCCACAGCTTCGGCCAGTTGTAGCTCTGGTGTGGTGTTCCTCTTCTTGTCTCTGCCCCATTTTATGTAAGGTTGCAACACAAATATCCTGTGTCCAACTGCAGTACCTATGCAACGACTGGACAGCTCTACATATTCCTTCCGTTCTTCTTCACTCTCTGCGCTTGCATCTTCTTCAGAATTGTGATTAAAACGATAAGCAATATTTTGTAGTAATACTCTTGGTCTTTCGCAAATTTTATTCACATTGTTCACTTTGTTGCATATTCGTAAATTCTGATGTGTAATGTTTAGAATCATACGTACACAATGCATCTTGCACCTGCTAGAATCTTGTTAAATGGAATTTGACTTGAATTTATCGTATAATCATTGAATTTAAGATAAATATATTTTATTTAATGTAACCACTCGCAAAAATTGTACAAAATATTGTAGCTATTAATATAATTCTATCTTTTGTATACAGAGAACTTAACCTCTTCAATGAGAATATGTTTTATCACTTTATTATTTCCGATATTAATATTTGAGATAACATAAATTAATTATGTTAACAACAAACAATGCGAAATTACAATGCCACTTGTATCTATGTTATCCTTTGGAAGAAAATTTGCCCGCATAAGGTTAGGTTGATCGCTAACCTCTTCCTTAGCAAAGATAAATATGTAAATCAGTGATACACGATACTTCTTTCTCACATTGTGCAATCACTATGCTAATATATCATCATATAATATATATATATATACATACATTAAAAACTATGCTTTTCGTGAAATTATATAAAATATTCAACGACTTGTACGATATTTCACTGATCAGCTGATTCTGTGACGATTTACATGCGTGAATATCCAACATACAAAGTGGAGACATACGCCAATAACTCCATTCACATTTCTAAAAAAACTTGAAAAAATTTATGTTTATTTTATATTCAAATTTTTATAACATTATTATTAGTGCATAGTATTGTGATCTTTTAAATTAGATGAAAAATATATGCTTATAAAAGGTAACAATTGTAAAAAAGTATACAAATATTTCCAGAGCAGTATCTTGGTACATTTTTCACACATTTTATTTAAATGTACTTAAATATTGGTTTAGTCACAATCAAGCTATGCATTCTGGTGAAGCTCTTTATTTGACCTTCTTACTTTATCTTTGCATGTTTTATACATATTAACGATGTAGTTTAAGCGAAATGATGTTAATCACATAACACGTTATATAACGCTGTCACATCTGAAGATCGCATTTATGCTGCGACAGAATAAATAATCTTATTTATTCGTCGTGATACGCGAATGGTTTTTACTGCGACGGTCATAATATACTGATCGCTCGAGGCTTAGCGATGCTTGAGACACGCATATCGACGCACACACAAATATGTGTGCCACGTGACGACCACTTATCGGAGCGGTGTCAGTTGTCAGGCTAGCTCGCTTCCGCGAAGCTCAGTGTCGCGAGATCAGTGAGTGCGACTTCTTCGTGATGGAGTCGGGAACTTTGGCGAGAATATTGCATGACTTCTTCACGACTGTCGACGGAGAACTGAGTCTTTCCAAAGGACATTATTTCCTGGTACAAGCTGTCTACTGTGAACGTCTGATATATAACCTAATGGAATGTAAACAATCCAGTAACATAATCTCATTATTTTTACTTTAGATACATGAGATACTGGACAAACATTGGTGCTTGGGTCAGTCTCAAGACAGGATTGGCAAGTTTCCTTTGAGTCACCTACATAAAGTGGACATACCTGAGTTTAATGAGACAGAAAGACTGTTTGTAGCTGTTGCTGACTTTCCTGGGCAGGAGACAGGAGACTTATTCTTTACACAAGGTAGGCTTATCGTTAAATATATTGAACATTTTTATATTCTTTTAGGAATTTTCTGAGAAAATTTTGATGAAGAAATATCAATCCTAAAATAATAAAATAGTCAAGAATCTAATGCAATCTATACATATGTTACATTATCACAATCCTAATTCTCAAATAATTATTTTAAGTATGAACATTATTAGGGGAGCTTATAATTGGGACAAGAGACATAGGCTCAGGATGGTGCGTGGGCAGAACAGGTTCTCGTACTGGAATTTTTCCTACAACACATACGTGGGAACTCGATATAACACTAATAAAGGTTTGATAGGCTTATACTTGATCTATATATCATTCAAAGAAAATATTTAATAGAAATAATAGGGGATATATTATTTTGTATATAGAAAACATCAAGAAAAAAATCAATAAAAAGGAAAGCCAAGGTAAATACAACATTGAAAGCACAACTTGAAGAAGAATTAGATTTAATCGCAGGAGAAGTAGTCACTATCACAGAGATTTTGGATGATGGCTGGTGTCGTGGAGCAACAGAAGATGGAAAGGAAGGTATATTTCCAGAAGGATTTATATCTTATATAGATGTGGATAAAGATATAACCGATCAAGCTGAAATAACAAGCTCAGTGAGGAGCAATTTAGCATGGTCTACACCTTGCAGTGACATAACTCACAGTGATTTCGGTGCAGCTGCTTCCGTGAGCTCATGTGTACCTGAGGAGCCTGCTCCAAATTACTTTGATTTATTCCCAGATGCTTTGGCATCCACCAGCGATGCAACAGGCGTACAATGTGATACTCACGTCAAGTCCATGGAGATCAAACCATACGCCATAACATTGTATCCATTTAATGCACAGTTTCCGAACGAACTGAGTTTTGGAGTGGGTGAGGTGGTACATCTCACTAGGCACATTGATTCCGAGTGGATGGAAGGCATGATCGACACAGCTAAGGGCATTTTTCCATCGTCTTATGTTAACGTTATAGTCGATTGCGTAGAAACTGCGAATGATCAAGTTCAGTCAGAAATCGATGTCATTCCCGCGAAGAAGGACGCTTTAGAACCGGGAGTTACTGTGAAGGTATTATACACTTTCGATGCACAAATGGACGGTGATCTGAGTGTTCAGGAGGGTAACGTAGTTACCGTGATGGACATGGCGAACGAAGATTGGGTAAACGTGAAGAATAAGAACGGTCTGGTCGGTTTGTGTCCGAGAGAATATCTGAGCTCAGCATTCGATCACTCCTCGAACCAGCGACAAGAATCATTAGAGGATTTGGAAAACTTTGTGATGATTAGACATAAAGAAGAAAACGTTACGACGAACGAGGAACAAAAACCAAAAAGGTTGTCGCAACCGCACAGACCAGCACCACCGGCTCCGGCTCCAGGTAGAGTTCCATTGCAAAAGGATCCTGTTCCGAATGCAGAAGTTTCTGTTCAAGAAGGAAGACGAGGTAACGAGTCCGTAACCGACGGTACGGTTAATCTAAGAGAGAAGCGTGCGGATCAACGACAAAACGTAATTTCGGAACTAGTTATAACGGAAAAGGAGTACGTCCGTGACTTGAAACTGACGTACGAAACATTTAACTTGTACGATCCGAGCTCTCTTATATCTAAGGGGATCGATGTCGCTACGTTGTTTGGTAATATCTTGGAAGTTATTCACGTTGCCGAGGAGTTATTGGATATGATCAGAAAAGCGATGAAAGGTCGCGATGAGAGCTTGCAGATGATCGGACCTTGTTTCGTGAAAATGACCGAGAAATTGAAGACTGTTTATGTGAAGTATTGTGGCAATCATGAAGCATCGTTAACTTTGCTGAAAAAGGTACTTGACTTTGTCATTTCTTTAGTCGACGAAACATCTTCATATTACAAGATATTCAAAATTATGTAATCGAGTTGCACTCGATTGTATTTGTATTTCAGTATGAGAATAATGAGGAAATTATGAAGATATTTAACAAAGGTATTGAAACATTGCGCCATCAGATCGCTTGTTTCGATATGAGTTCCATCCTGATAAAACCAGTTCAGAGAATATTGAAGTATCCTCTCATATTGTATGAATTGATTAAGGTAAGCGATTATATGTTAATTATATAATCTGTTATTTATAACGAGTTGCTACATCACAGTTGTTTTATAACAGTGCACGGAGGACGATCATCCGGATAAAGCAACTACAGAAGAAGCGTGGAAGGCAATGACGAACGTCGCCAGCTACATTAACGAGTACAAACGTAGGAAGGACATCGTGTCCAAATATTTGGACAATGATAACACGCTAATCAGCAAAATGTCGAAATTAAGCATGCACTCTGTAGCGAAGATGTCTACAAGACTGAGCACGAGATTGTCGGCGAGTCTCGGCTTGACAAACGTCGCGTGCGACGTTCAATTCGAAGAGCTCGAGAAGCAATTTCGATCTATTGAGAAATGCACGTGGCAACTGGCGAAGGACGTCGAACAATGCACCATGCATTTAAGCGAGGAGGCCATGTCCGGGGATGTGATAGCCGAGTTTTTGGGTCACTACTATCAAGGAACGCCCACTTCCGACGTGAAGAAATTACAAGATATAAGATCCACCATTTGGACTCAATACATGCCAGATTTTAAATCGTGCGTCGAGAAGAGAGTTAGCGTGCCGTTGCATTCGTTAGCGACGCTGTTAGAAGGGCCGGCGGTTCTGATATCGAAGAGGCATGATAAATTGCTGGATTACGACGCTGCCATTTCTAAGAGTGAGAAATATAAAGAATCAAAAATTGTAATTGTTACACCGTCACGATCGATTAACGCGCCATTCCCTCTGACGTTTCCTCTTTTCCTTTACGAGTTGCTTTATTCGTTTCAGGTGCAAGAAGAGTTATTTACTGCGAAGAGTAATTACGAGGCACTGAATCAGCAATTGTTGGAGGAAATGCCTATATTGCTAGACTCATCGGCAAACATTCTAGTTAATTGCATAAGTGCCTTCGCTGGAGCTCGGAAGTTGCTGAGCGGCAGAGTTACCAAGCAATATCTGACGCTCTGCGAGGTACTTTGATGAAGTTCAAATGAAGATCCTTCAACGTATTCAATGTCGAATAAATAATAAAAATTATTCTCTATTCGTTACAGTCATTACCGCACTTGTCGTCACAGGACGTGCTAGAATCGTTCCTCGTCAACCACAATTTAGTATGGAATCAAATAAAACGTTTCACGTTCGCCGGTACGAATCCTCGAGTAGAAGACGAGGGTCAGGCTCAAGTCTGCGTACAATCCGATAGGCAGAGATCCCTACTCAAAGAAAAATACACAGCCGATAAATTGTACACAGTGGTCGACGACGTCGCCAGCACGTCCGCGTTGGACGTAGCTGCTGCAAGAGGTACATTGATCGCCGTCATAAAGAAGCAAGATCCCATGGGAGACTCCTCGAGATGGTACGTCGACACCGGAGTCACTCAAGGATTTCTGCCGTCTCAAAAACTGAAATTGGCTCAGCAGAGTCAACCGCGCGATTGCACCGCGGCGACGTCCATCGCTGCAACTAGGAAGAGCCCTCCAAATTTGATGTCATTGGATTCTCCGGAGAAAGAGATCCCGAAGACATCTCAGTCACATCTACAGGATTTGCTCTCGTTAGACATCAGTAAAGAATCGAGAGTGGGTCACACTTACGGTAACATCCCGGAAACGCCAAAGGTTCAAATATATCAGAATATAAACAGCGAAGTTAGTATCTTTCGGGTATTAGTTATTTTCGTCCACCATTCGGTCATTCTCTAATACTTTCTACCTATATACTTCGTTTGCTTTTTTCAGTTTTACTATGCGATGTATGATTTCGCTGCGAATATACCAGGCACATTATCCGTTACGAATGGCCAAGCCTTGAGACTGATTAGACCGCACGACGAGAAGGGAAACGACGAATGGTGGCTCGTAGAGAATCGCGAAGGCAAGCAGGGGTATGTTCCTCGAAATTATTTACAATCTTCAGCTAAACTGAAATAATAATGATGAAATCAAATCATGTCACGTTTATATACGGTATTGCTATTCAGTTTTATTTAAAATTAATTTTAAAATTAATCGTTTATTAGTAGAGCTATATTATCGAAGTATTTTGCGCAGCTCTATCCAACGTTTTTTACCTATTTTAAACTGAAGTTTTAATCTGATCTGATTTAGCCTAAAAATGAAACAGACTCTTATATTAAGTAAATATCAACGAGCTAATGCTCAACGATAACTTTCGTAATTCCCTTTTTAGTACTTAGATTTGTACATGTCTGATGTTTATATACTCTTTAAAATTTTTACACATACATATTGATGTTGTCCAGTTGTTACATGTGTGTATAAATGTACATAGTGTGTTACCGGGAGCAAACTGTTTCTTCTGTGATTGTCGTTATTTTCAAGTACGAAGTATGAAGTCAGTGATCGATATTGTGACACAGCAATAATGCGTATATTCTTGCCTAACAAGATAAAGTTCTGAACGTTTATTATGTAAGGAGTGTTGCGTACCTATCGAATATATATATACACACACACACACTGATGATCAATCTTTCTACTAGCAGCATATTTTACTTCACATTTTCCTCTACACGATTTTGCTAATCTTTATATCGAATTTGCAGCCACAATTCTGGAAATATATTTGTATATAAAGAGTGTTGTAATTTCCGATAAATTATATGCCATTTAAAAAATATGAGTATATTCACCATGGAAATATTAATAAAAATATATGGAGAACATTAATTAATTCTTTAATTTAAAATATGTGCTTTTAAATCCCTTCGCCAATAATCTCTGTCTGCAATGTCCCTCACTGAGTGTTTGTATCAAAGGAAGAATATTATCATGTCATTTTTATGTCACGACGAGCTGTTCGGAATTTATAAAATTTTAATTATTTCATCTTTGAATCTCTTTTGGTCTTTGTTATGTTCGTTATTATTTCAAAATAAATTATTTAATTCGGTCGATGGCATCGTAATGAATAGGACATTACGATTATCAACGTGGAAAGCGACGTATTAATGATTAATGATTAAAAGTGAAGTATTAATTGTCGTCTTTTATAAATCACATAGAAGAATACGGAAATGTTCAGTACAGATATATTTGCCGCTGCAGAGAAATGCTCGAGAAAAAATGAAACACACGTTATTATAAAAGAAAAAAGAATGTATCAGCTATATTATCACTGTAATATAATGCATTTATCGTTACAATCAACAGTAATAGGTACAATAACGTGACGCTGCAGCGTATACTACGGCGTTAAGCGCCTAAATACATGTACGATACAAAATAAGAGGATACAAATCGCTTAAATAAACAAAACAGTCTTTCGAGGTACAGCGACTTGCCGTGAGCTTACGCGAATAAACTTACGCTAAACTTACGTTCTAAACGAAAAGGTGAATACTGATCTAAGAATATAACGACAATCAACGAGAGAGAGATACTTCTCGGATGCAAGTATACACGCTCGAACTGATCAATGTTATTGCGAGTTATGCTCTTATCGTGCCGGTTAATGATAAAGCGCCTTCAGATATCGCGGATGTGCCCGATTAGTGTAGGATTACTGATCGATTCGAGTATTAGAACCGCTTGCGATTCTGATTACGATGCAATTACGATGTAATTAAATACAATTCCCGTGATACCGGGTAAAATCCTAAGTAATCGAAGTAACATATGTCTCACGCGAATATCCGTGCGCTACCGTAAGGTGACGTATCATCGATGTGTAACGAAGCAATTGTATCTGAATTGAGGAAAAGAAAATGTCAGAACGTTAAAATTCAGTGGAACCGTGTTCGCGTTTAACCGAAAGTTCACTAGTCGCCTGTGTCTTTGAAAACTCGCGTCGAAGAATCTGGTTTCTCAGCTTTCCCACGCGAGGAAACGTGTCCACCGACTAGAAAATATACCATGAAGAGTTTTGTCTCAATTACGTTTACCGAGTATATCAGAATCAGCAAAGAATCAGCTACGAAGGCACAGCGATCATATCTCCTTGTTAAAAATTGCAAAGCATATCTTGCCAAAAAGTTTCTCCGCATTTTGTCAATTGCACTCTCAATTTGCCGTCACTTATCGCATCAAATCGATTATTAAGCAAATTTTAATTTACACGGCTGATTATGCCTTCTGTAACTACACCGGGCAACAATATCTCACGTCTCACGTCTTACAATAAAATCGGATATCCGCTACAATTCAACATCCTCACCTTAAACGGTAAACTTAACGGTAACTGACAGTAAATACACATTTGATCTTGCGTTGCGGCGTCACCGCAATATATGCGCATTGAAATGTACTGCGAAATATCGGACTTGTTTGGATAATACAAATTAACTCGCTGCGCGGTAACAATTTGCAGTGTCTCATCGGCGACGCTCGACGGAGTCTGATTATCGTCGTTCGTGACAATGATAGTCTGATTAGTCAGCGTGATTTCACGCGTTTCGACTAACTGCAAGACTGTCGACTGGTTATTGCGGTCGTTAAGAACGACGTTTCTCGATAATTGAGATGAATAGCGTTGAATATATCTTTAGCACAGTAAGGAATTTACCGTTTACAACCGGACGAATGGTGCGCGCTCGACGAGGTCGCTGCCTCCGTCTTCGGCGCGAGTCATTTTCTCATCCTAAAATCCTTCGTCCACGTCGATTTTACATACGGAACCTGACGACCTGTATTCTCGCCGCGTATTCAGAATTTTACGAATTTATTACATGTTATATATTTGTTTTATAAACGATGCTTTATATTTATACCCGGGTGCGATTCGAATTTTTACATTCGCGGCTCTAAATACGCGACGAGAACGTCGTCGCTCCTTTAACGATATCAATCGGGCATTTCGTTGGGAAAATCTCAGAGTCCCAACATTCGTTTGTTCGTCCATCGGTTTTAAGCAAAAATATTCTTCTTCAATCCCTTCTTGTGTCGTTGTTAATTACAACATCATACATCAATGCCGTGCAGGATAATAACTTCTGCTTCGATCGATACTTTTACAAATTACCGAGTACAATCGCAACGGTGCAATCATATAGCTAATATTAGTCGTATTAGTTATATGATTACTCACCGTTGTCGTTACTTGATAACTGTTGTGGAGGTGTCGCTGCATCGACCAAAGTAGAAGTTATTATCGTTGGTAGAAGTTCGTAGAAGGTATCGTAGTTGATATCGTATTAACTATATAACTATATATTCACCGTTGCCTTTCACTCAGTAACTCGAAGGAAGTATCACCGCATCGACCGAAGCAGAAGTGATCATCGTGCGTGTCATTCGATTTCAGCGCCGAGGTTTCGCGCGTAGATCGAAGGGACTCGCATCGTGCAATAATCATATTGCTACGCGCAGGTGCGTCTTCTTCGTTCGACGATTATCATCCGGAAGAACGAAGTAGAGCACCGTCCTCGCTTACATCAGAGTTTTATCCGTTAACGTCACACGCTGTAAATCGTCGTTAAATCTTCGTGTTAAGCTGTTCTTACACATCTATCTGTGGAAGATAAAGAGACATGCCACCAAAAGCAAATACCGTTACTTCCTCCTTACATCGGCGTTATCTGACAACACTTTTCTCTCTCTCTCTCTCTCTCTCTCTCTCTCGTGTGACGCGCGTTTCACACGCGTATAACGCTGTGATTATCTTCGCGAATTACACACGGTCCGACTGCTCTCCAAACGAAAGCCGCTGCGAATCCGAAGCAACGAACGAAAACTTTCCGTCTCGTTCTGTGACAAATTCTGCGACCTCGAGGTCGCAGAATTCGATCTCCCGCGGGAAAGACTTCTCCTCGCTATGCGGTACAGAGAGATCTTTTTCTCAAGGGATTTAACGTGTTCTTCAAGATTATCGTCATTTCATGCGATCGAGCGATATGGACCAACGTGTCAAAACGAGCGAATATCATCCTGCCGAAAAAAACCTCCTTCAACTTCTTCTTCCTCCTCCTCCTCCTCCTCCTCGCCCCCATCCCACAACACGTCATCTCTCACCAGGTCTCTGGTCTAGCTATCCGGCTATCGGTAGAGGACGACTGCTGTCGTCCAACTCTGATAGCTCAACTCCGTCGGAGCTGCTAATTTAATTTCGATCGACTGCGGAAACGCTCGCGCTGATTCTAACAATTGTATGATTGCCGACTAGACCGCCACGTGTCTCAACTACGTGCCTGTGGTTGTGGTTGTCATTATCATCATCATCATTATAATTGTCGTTGTCGTCGTCATCGTCGTCATCATCGTCGTCGTCGTCGTCGTCGTCGAATCTGTCTCTCGCTCGTCGATCCGCGACCGCGACTAGTAATCTCTCAGCGGCGGGACTTCTAATCCGCGGGATAAAAGCGGAGGATCGCGCGACCCTGGATCTCCGAGTGGCAGAGCTTGTGCACGACGTCGAGCGCCTCCTCGGCCGGGTAGACGGTGTGCGGCGGTGGCTCGATCTCGCCGGAGCCGACCAGCTGCACGAGTTCGCGAAGCTGCTCGAGAGTGCCCGGCTCGACCGGCTTGATGGATTGCTGTTTCTCCTCCGCCCGTCGGCTGAACTTGGGCAGCAGCCGGTCGGCCACCTCCTTGATCACGAACACCACGCCGCCCTTGCTGAGGCACTGCATGCTGCGGTGGAGGTTGCGCGAGGTCGTGCCGAAGTCGATCACTACGTCCACCTGGCCTTGGCATGCATCCATCGTGCGCTCGATCAGCTGCTTCTCGTACAGGTCTTCGCTCCACTGCACCACGTTCACCCTGTAACCGACGTGCCGACTGTTGCTGAATAAATCGAACGAAGTGATGAGCGTACGGGCGTTCTTAAGACATCTGCTCGATGCGAGCAGCCTTAGATTCGCAGACACGTTTTCCTCGGAGCAAAAATGTTTAATTCTCTTTTCACACGAACATCATTTGATTGCAGACGAAACTGCTCACGCGCGGGGATTTCTTCGCATTTCTTAGTCCAATCGTCCGATCGCAATTTCTCACAATCGTGTCAATCAATTATCCGAGATAGTCGAGCGAACTATAGTGACCGGTCTACTTTGCCGCGGTCTAGTGAGATCCATCATGAAACTTACCGCTGAAACTCCTGAGCTATTTGAAGACCGTCGTCCTTGAGACTGGCCACCGTAGTGGTGACCCTGTCCCTCATATTGCTGAAGTGATACGATGCGATCCTGAGCGCCCACAGAGCGAGGCCACCGGTGCCGACTATCAGAATCTTGCAGACGCTCTTCTCACCTCTCTCCTTCAGCAACGCCTGTGCAACGCACGTTTCACTGTTTCATTACTTCATTTCGCAGGAAGAATCTAAGGGCGACATTGACCCACTGTACAGTGTCAACATTTCATTCTGATCGCTGCAGGCACGCTGCACGCGACGATCAGGGATACGACATTGCGCACTTGTACAGTCTTCGTGCTTCACGAAGGTAGCCGCATTAAACCGTACCTGCACGTGCTCATGCGCGGCGAAGACGGTGTTCATCGCCAAGAGCGCGCCAGCCGGCAACATAGCCGCCACGCTGAGTGACATGCTGTCCGGGATCTTGATCAGGTACTTGAGATCATGCACCACCAGGTACTCCACGTAGCCGTTGGGGATGCCGTCGTACGGGTAGAGGATCACACGATCGCCCACTGCGAGCTCGCAGTCCTCGGACACTTCAGTGCCAAACGACTCGATCACACCGGCGACCTCGTAGCCGGGGAACAAGGCGGCGTCGCGCACCCCATGATGCGGCAGCGACACGGGGTAGTCGCTCTCCAAGGACATGTCGGTGACGAGGCTGCTGGCGCTCGACACCGACGTCAAGCTGTTCAGACTCGGCGAACGGCGAGGGTGGTAGCACGCACCGGCGCACATCACCCTGATGCGGGCGCCGTGTGCCGGCACGTCCGGCACGGGCACGTCGAAGCTGAACACACACTCCCGACTCCCGGTCACGCTGGGACTCTCGATCGAGAGCTGCCGGCACAGCTTGTTCATCTTCTTCTCCCTGCAACCCGTAATCGTTAGGCGTTAGGAAACGTCAGTCGGGCGGTTGCGAGTGCGATAAATTAAGATTATTCGTATTGAATTAGCGACAGTTGTGCAGCTAATTGACTCATTTTCTCGAGATAACCCCGCTGAGCTGGTGAACGGTATTGGCCCGTATCTTTTGGTGACTCGGACGGAATGCAAGTCAAATTCGTCTTGCTAAGAGCGGGAGATGTCGACACGACATCGCACGTTGATACGGTATTGTCGCGCGCAATAATGTTGTGCAAAACTTATTGTAGCACGTAACGGAGAGGGAAAGAAAGAGAGACCTGCTTGAACTGTATTTAAATGCAGATAGATGAACAGAGTGAAGATTAGAAAGTGGCTTTTGCACGCAGCGGTGAAATAAGCGACGGCGTTGCAAACGGAAACCGTTAGTGGCAAGATGCTGTAACTAATATTCGATTAATCGGCGATGACGCATTCTCTTTTTTCGGAATGACGCGAGCCGTAATTTTACGCTCAAATTAGTGGGAACGTGAGATCAGCGGCCGGTTCGAGCAAACCTGTTAGACGCGCGGATCAGCTGTTTTAATCTCTCTCTCTCTCTCTCTCTCTCTCTCTCTCTCTCTCTCTCTCTCTCTCTCTCTCTTTTCGTCAGACACTCAAAGCGTACACATGAACGATACAAACGTTGCGAAGGAAGGAAAGCGTGACAAGCGCAAAATCCTGCGGTGACCTCGTTAAAAGTACGAAGAAAGTGAATCCACATAAATTCTACGTATCACGGCTTCTCGTGGAATCTACAGAGCGCTTGTAAATTTGAACGAATTGAACGAACGAGCACTTTTCGCACATTAAATGATGTAACAAACAAATGTGTACACCGTACTTGTGAAACCAATCGCGCTATTCTCTCACGTATATAATGAAGCGGAGGATTCATAATTACAGACCAACTTATAAATCGCCTACCCATTGTAAGACGTAGGAGCTACAGGCGCCATGGGTTCCAGCTCCACGGGCATAATCAGCTCGGAACTACGATCAAGATGCTTTTTCAAAAACCACCTGCTGTTCAAAAATCACTGAAAACAAGCCTCGCGCCCCTCTGCGCTACCGAGCACTACCGAGCGAACGCGATGAAAACGCGTTGTGTATATTTGCGATATATCTTCCCAGCGCGAATTCCAATTCCGCAGCCTGATGAAGGAGATTTGCGGCGAAAATAATTTTCAAAAAGTAAGAGACACAAGTCGCGAGTCTACCTCTCACGGACCGCGCGAGACGCACTAACTCGTCGCGTCGGCGCGCGTTCGTTTTTATACCATGACAGGCCGGCGCACTTTGGCAAAGTAGTAGGGAAAGTGAACGAGGGGTAGGAAGAGGCACGGCACGCGGAGCACTCGCAGACCACGTGCAACGTTCGTTTTTCCCCCCCCCCTCTCTCTCTCTCTCTCTCTCTCTCTCTCTCTCTCTCTCTCTCTCTCTCTCTCTCTCTCTCTCTCTGTTCTGAAGTACGCTAGCTGCTCGGCTGCAAATCGGCTGGCGGTCACGTGCGCAGAGCGCGAAGGAGCTCTCCTTCTTTGTTTCTATATGCGGCGGCGGCGCGGCGCGGGCGGTGGCTGCTGCGACGAAATGAATTTGTCACCCCATTTTTACGTGGCGTTAAACCCGCACGACGTCACCCCCGGCAGACTTTCCTTTCACGAGCAATCGACTTTTTCCTCGACAGATATCTTATTTGCGACATATTCTGCGCATCATGATTTATCGTTTGTTTCATTATTTCGCTAATTGCCCGAGAGTGATCTTGCAGATTCAGCAATTGCCGACGTTAACTTACGTCCGACGGACAAGGTATATTAACGACGTCGAGGTATATTAACAGAGGATAGAAGAGGTTAAGTGAATCGCGCCCCGTGACCCGTGACAGGTGTTCCTGGTTGTCGAAATGCGTCACGTGAAGTAAGGTAAATAGTTAGCAGAAATGTATTCTTACGCGAAAAACAATTCCGAAGATCGTTCTAAGCAGCGTATCGCTGATAAACAGTTCGGCGCGTCAATGAATTTCCAAGCCACGTTGAATATTTATAACACACGAAAGAGCATGTGATTTACACGTATGTTCGTCGTGCAAAAAACGACGACTTATTAGCGAACGGTAACCCTTCGTTTATAAACTCATTAGTCGTTTGCGTCAACACGCCTTATCTACTTGATAAGTATATGATTTATAATACGCCGTTAAACACCATTGCACTGAAGTGATTTTTTCGACAATAACAACGATTAACATTGAAACCTTTTATTTTTGCCGGTGTCCGGGAAACAACGGCGGTATCGTCAGATAAAACCATTAGAAGTTTGTATTCTTCTTGAGATTCTTCTCTTACTTCTTTTTCCGTAGATTAATTTTCATATGTCATACGTAGCGATATACGTCGCCGTCTTTCTCTTACTACAATGAGAAAACATGATTGTAAACGCTAATTAAGTATCTTGAACGGAACACGAGTGACAATAAAATCGCGTAGTAAGTCCATTGTGGTGATCACAATGAAATTATCAGACTTGCATCGAGAGATTTCTCGGCAACAGCTCTCGGATTTTCATGAAATCGTCGATATTTCATATTAAAATATCAACTACTTATTAATTAATTAAGGATTCAAACAGAAGCAAGGATAAAAGGATAAGAATAACAATCCGAATCTCTTAGAAACAGAACCACGTGTAGAATAAGAAATGATTTGTTCTTATTTTATGTTTTTTTCTGGTTATCGATTTTAAAAACTGAGATAATAATTAATCTTATTATAGCTCGAATAAATTAATTATCTTTCCCTGAAAATTTTAAATAAAATAAAATTTTGCGAGTAGCTGCTTCCGGCACCTTTTCGAATTATAATTCAGGATTATTTGCAACAAGTATCACTTCCAAAAGCACACTAATGCTTCATTTGTGAAAATAAATGATTTTAGTTAGAAACATAAAACAATGTTTTCTCGCATGCACAGATAAAGCTAAATGATGCAGTTATTCTGCTTGCTGCCTCGGCAAATCTTTGATCGAACTATCTGGTTTCTATCCGGGCATAATAATTTGTTTGTTGATTCGCGGCTTATCTGCGATACTTTTTCAGCTCGTGCGAGCTGCGTAGCTATCAGCAGATAACATTTATTTTCTTCGCTGTCAAGGATAGCAAGTACATAACCAAGCTTCACGCGCGTCGCATATTGTGTTATTTACGACACATTGACCATGCGCTTGTCTTGCAAGGGTGTTGACATCGTCCTTATCATGCAAATTTTTAAGCCGAGTACCCCGCAAAGCTGAGCACCCGCTCTCTTATATGCATACAATTACAATATTACGTCCGTGACTCAGGAAATGCATGGTTCAGCGCGTTACTGAAATAGCCGCTATCGAGGTTACAATGTGATTACACCGCGGTTATGTGACCGATGGAACGCTCGTTACAGTTGTAAGACGACCGTTGGAACTATTGACGTCATCCCGCCGCAAAAACATTGAATAATTCGATCCATATTCGATATTTTCGTTCACGAGTCTTGCTCAATCGTCAACTTGGCGGGGTGAAAGGAAAACTTGTTTGCGCATATATATATATATATATATATATATATAATAAAAAGCAATATCAAAAATATACAACATGACAATCTGTAACCAATTCGTCAACTTTGAGAAAGTCCGTCGACAATGTTTACAATTGACGATTCGTCGTGCGCGTTTCGCGTCTTCCGTCGGAAACACCGTTAATCAACACAGTAACAAAGTAACAAACACAATACGTGGCGCGTTATACAAGTCTCGTGGGATGATCAAGTAACCGTTTAATCAGAACTTAACCCCAATCAAAATCAAACATTACGCGTATTTATCGCGCAGACCAGTCCTGCGAGCAAGGGGCGTGCTCGCACCGTTCGCTCCGCGTTATCGCGTGCGTTGTAAAATTCGTGGCATAAACACAATCTGCAAATTAACGATCGCTTAATAGGAGCACTCGTTAATCGATACCGCCGATAAGTTGGTTCGTCGAGATAACTGCACGCAGATAATCTCGACGGATCTGAAAACAAATAGTCTCTCCGCGCGCCAGTCCGAGCGTGAAATGCGACCCGACTTTGCCCTCGTTCAAACGACGAAAATGTCAATTAAGGCATCTACTGATTTTACAAGTGTACACAGACATCGGATGTGCCGTTCTGTTGAGACACTTGGACGCGATCACGCTCTCGTGACGCGAAATTAACGCCGTTGGAGGGGAACCGAACGACCTGTCCGCTTCCTTCCTCTTTCGATTACGCTGAACCTCAATCTCCTCCATGCGAGAATCCCGTACGCGATTTCACGCGTATCTACACGCTGCAACGCCAACGGCGCGTACGCACTTGCTGCTACGCACACAGCGAGACCGTTTTCTTCTCGGCTTGCAGATTTCCGTCAAAATGCGCGTCAAACGCGCGCGTGCGTGATCCTCGTGTCTCTCGGACGAGAAATAAAATTTCTTAAACGTAGAAAAACGCGCGTCTCTCTTGCTGTAAAGGGGACGACGTTCGGACGGCGTACAATTATGTAAGCCATCAGCAAACAAGCGACGATATCGAACGGATAAACCTACAGCTGCACATCACACACAATGAGACTCGTAATAACCAGGATTTCTTGTTTCCCCGATAATAATCTCCTCGTTGACTTTTCCTAAGCTCGCGTCATCAGCGATCTTCTCAGCGAGGAGTTTAATGATTTATCGCTGAAACACAACGGGAACTACCGTAGTTTAGATAAACGTTGGTAATTATCTACCGTACGATCATATTTTCAAACCGCAATCCTTCGAAACGAGAATCCTTCGTCCCGCGCTTTGCTAGCTGTACGTATTATTATAAGACTCTCTTCATGGATATTCGCGACGTTAAACTCGCGGATATCTTCTGGAACGAAATCAGCAGGAAAACGCGATTCTATTATTTGTCTTTGTTCGCTAAATATCCTCCGATCGATCATTGCCGTCCGCGCCGCGGTAATTGTGTCGAGGGCAGATTTACTTCGATTCAATTAAAAATCTTTGCGTGACGCACGAGCGCGCATTTTGAGACACTTTGTTGTGTGTCGACCAAGCGGCGCGGTCAGCATTTTTATCATCTCAGTTTACGTCACGGCACGTGTCGTCGAAGATAATAAAGATATTTCGTGGGTACGTGCAAATAACAACAATAATAATAATAATATCGCGCATCTCTCTGCACACTCTCGGGCACCTGACGACAACCGCTCAATCACTTCTGATAAAAATGTTGCAGTTGATAATTTGGGTGGCAATTAACGACCGCCGCGCGTCAATCGCGGGTATTATCGCGATGACGAGTGCTATTGATTTTCCGATTACATTTATTCACTCGTGGGTTTCTTAGACCTTCTTGGAAGTCCATCTTTCGCGACATGTCGCTTCTATCTCCGTCACATTGTTCATAGATTTTCCTCTATTATCGTCGAGTAGATATAGTCTGTGAGGGAGTGCTTATATTACTTGACCTACTTTCACGAAACGTATCTACGATAAAGCAAGCCCTTCGATAAAGAATTCGTGCGCGTGACAGCAGACTTTATTTTTGTAGCCAGCGATTACTAGCGGGTCCGCTTGCGCGTCTCGATAATTAAAAGTCGTTGCGGCACTGCAAGATATAAAATATCGCGCGAGGCCGCGTCGCGCGAATTCTAAAGGCTGCGAAAACACCGAGTGAAAATCCGCTTCGAAATTCGCGATAATGTTCCGCGAAGTGGCGAAGGCGCGAAGGGAAGATGTGTAACGGTGAAAATATCTGCGGAAACCACGTGAAATTCTACTGTATCCCTGTATCCCTGACGTCGGATCGAGCGGTTCTTCGGACGAACAATGGAGAAGGGACCGGCATCGCAGCGATCACGGCTGCGAGCGGGAAGATTTACGCGCGCTCTATGCGCGACGCTGAAGACAAAGAAGCTGTTTGTCCACGCAGAAGAAGCATGCGTGAGGCGCATGTTCGATTTGTGTGTTGACGCTTTTCAAAAATAGATTCCCTCCGTTCCGCCAAGGAGACGCACAGAAATCAAGAACGTGAGTCATACCGCCCACCTAATACGCAAATTCGAAACGTAAATATGCAATGAATTATGAGGCGCGATCCATTGACGATTATGTAAGCAAAACCTGCTCCACCTGCCGATTCTAATCTGTCGTTATGGGACTCAAACTGGGAATGGTGGCTTGGAGAGGTGGAGCTTACACGTTCGTTCCTCAGATCTTT